TGGAGTCAACACCAGGCACAGGACCTCCAGGAGGCACCGGTCCTGGGTTGGGGGCTGGGTCCAGCTGTGCAGTTGAAGGAGCAGGGGAGCCTCAGGGTGGGGGTGGGCACACCCTGTGTGATGGGACCATGGGCTGGCATTGTGGTACAGCAGATAAAACTGCTGCCTGTGATGTCAGCGTTCCGTATAGGTGGTAGTTCAAGACCTGGCTACTCCATGTCTGATCCAGTTCCTTGCTAATATACCTGGGAAGGCAGCTGATGACCCAGCTGTTTGGGCCCCTGCCACACACATGGGAAAAAGCTCCTGGCTTCAGTGTGGTCCTGGCTGTTGAGGCCATCTGAGGAGTGAATCAGTAAATGGAAGATCTCTATCTTTCTATATCTAACTCTTTTTTTTTTTTTTAAGATTTATTTTATTTTTATTGGAAAGGCGGATATACAGAGAGGAGAGACAGAGAGGAAGATCTTCCATCCGATGATTCACTCCCCAAGTGAGAGCAATAGCCGATGCTATGCCGATCCGAAGCCAGGAGCCTCTTCGGGTCTCCCACGTGGGTGCAGGGTCCCAAAGCTTTGGGCTGTCCTTGACTGCTTTCCCAGGGTACAAGTAGGGAGATGGATGGGAAGTACACCAGCCGGTATATGAACTGGTGCCCATGTTGGATTGTGGAAGATGCAAGGGGAAGACTTTAGCCACTAGGCTATCGCACTGGGCCCTGCTAAATGTTTAAAACAAATAAATCATTGAATAGAAAAGAAGAAGAAACTGGTACAAATAACTGTGCTTAAAATCCTCAGTTATGTTGCTTGTTGGAATTTTAGAAGTGACAGATAAGCCAGACGGAGAGAGGGGGAGAAGGAGAGGTACCGTATTCTGCCTGCTTTGCAGGAACCATTGCTATCTGTGGAGCTGTCCCTCAGGCTTGTGTGTGCACTGGCTGTGGAACGCTGGCCTGGCCCAGCCCCTGAGCCTGGGTCGGGAAGTAAAATAGTTCAGAGACCCCGGCCTCCCTCTCTAGGCTGGTTTGTTCTCAGCAATTACCTGGCCACCCTCTCCCCAGAGCCAGGCAGGATGCACGTCCTACTGGGAACTTCATGAAATGCAGGGAATGGAGCATCCTGGCTTGCGAGGCTCATGAAGGACTGTGGACGTTACAGGTGTCGGGGTGCAGAGAGGGAGGGCTTCCTGGAAGAGTGGGGCTCCAGCTTCCATGTGGAAGGTGTGGGACAAAGCTCGCCCAGGGGAGAGACATGGAGCTAGGGGCTGCTTCTATCACACTCTCTTAAGGAAGCTAAGTGCTTTGGGGCCAGCTGCTTGCTGCCCCAGGCTCCCGAGAACTGAAGGGGGGATGTTTCCTGAGACTGTGCTGGGCTTGTTGACGCCTGTGGTGTGGGTAGGTGGACAGGCCCAGGGCCCCGCTGGCTCTAAGAATGCACATGTGCTCTTGCAGGGTGGGGCACGCAAGAAAGAGATGCTTCATCTGCAGGTTCAATCCCCGGATGTTTGTAGAGCCGGGACTGGGCCAGCCTGAAGCTGTCAGTCGAGCTCCATTGGAGTCTCCCATGTGGGTGACAAGAACCCAAGGACGGGGGACTCCATTCAGGGGCCCCAGGCCTGGAGCGCTTGCCTGCTGCCTCTCAGTATGTGTCTCAGCGAGAAGCTGGGATTGGAAACAGAGCCAGGACTCAAACCTTGGCTCTCGTGTGCGATGTGGTCGTCCCAAGTGGCCTTTTAGGTGCCAGGCCAGATGTTTGCTTCTAATGAGGTGACTAAGGAATGGGGTTACCAGGTAGAAAGGGGCTATCGGGGTTATACCATGGCCTGGCCCAGGAGGGGACATTCTGGACAGTCCTGTGTGAGGGGTTATGGGATGAAAGTGGGAATGGATCCCCATACCAAGTGAAAGGCACGGATGGAATCTGGCTTGGGCAGCATTGGGCTACAAGTAGGGGATGGGTTGTGGGGGGTGCCTGGGGGCTGATGTGACTGCATGGGGTACACTTCTGTCCTAGGAGAGCGGGGGGACTTGCCCATGGTCCCAGAGTGGGGCTGGGGTCTCCTGGTTGCTGAGGGAGGCCAGGAGCGGTGGGAACTTCCTTCTGTGCCTATGGAGTTGAGTATTAGTGAGGACAGCAATGATGGTATGGTACTATGCTGGACTGATGGAGAGGTTAGCTGGGCCTGCTGAGCCCATGCACTGCCCCTGCACCTCCAAATCATTTACAGGTGGTAGTGGGCCGGGCCCAGGTGTTCTTGGGGAGAAAAGTTCAGGGTGGCCTGGCAGGGTCCTCTGAGGCCATCACGTGCTGTTACTCCTGTTTCACAGCTGCCTGGTTCTCAGTGCAGCTCTTGTCCCCATTTCACAGAGAGGGGGCCCGGTGGAGAGCTGCAAGGGAGGTGCGCTTGGAGGGCCAACATGTGGGAGCAGAGGCTGTGGGGGGGGGGTGCGTGTTGCTTTTGTTGTTTACCAAGATGGATGTCTGCTATGGCTCGTCTGTGGGTAAGGTGTAGGCTGACTGTCTCTGAAGGTGCTGTTGTCCCCCAGAACTGCCTGTGAACTCACTTGCTTTCTCCCCATGCGTGGGCTTCTGCTGTTGGGTGGGGGTGTCTTTGGGAGCCCAGCTGGCTCCTCCCAGTCTGCTGACCCTGGGGGTCACTGTCTCACAGCTCTTGCCCGGCTCCACCATGTCCGGGTCACAGGCTTACCACTTGGTGGATGTGTGAGTGGCTTTCAGTGGGCTCAGTTTTCAAAGGACCGGTTCTGCCTCTGTCCTCGCATTGTGCACATCTGCATTGGCTCCAGGCACCAGCTGGGGCCTGTCATCCATCGCCTGCTGCGGCTGGCCAGGGGCAGGAAAGGCAGAGGTGCCAGTCAGTGTGAGCCCGGCCCTGTGGGAACCACAGGCCTGAGGCCTGGCCTTGGCCCTGCAGCTGTGGCCAGCTGTTGTTCCCTGCAGGCCCCGCCCACTTCTGGCTACTGCTCCCGCTCCCTTAATCCCTTTCTCTTAGGCTGTTCCCACCCAGGCTGCTGGGAGGGGTCTGGGAAACTGGGGTCTGCATTGTTGGGGGCCTGTTGGGACTGGTGACATGGAGTCAAAGTGGCAGCTGGAGGGCCACCCTGAGTCCTCCCCCTCTCAGAGCTGCTGTCCTGTTGGGGAGTGTCCCAGCTCACATGCCTCAGCCCTGGTGGGGTAGGGGGAATGGCCAGACCTGAGGAGGTGCGTATAGTCCAAGATAGGAAAAACCTTTACACTTCTGACGAAAAGAGGGGGCAAACCTTCAACACCTGAGGCTCAAGTCCCCGTGTGCTGCCAGGGGCAGGGTTCATGTCAAGGGCAGATGCAGCTGATGGCATCTCCTGTGACCCTGGAGGCACCGAGAGCTCGCCTGTCGGGGCATGTGTGCCCTCATCATACGAGTCTGCGGCTGGAATGTTTTCCTGCATCTTTGCTGCTTGCCCCTGGTTCTCCTCCCAGCCAGGAGCCCACGACTAAGATCCTAGATGTAGCATGGCCAGTTCTTAGTTGTTTTTGTTTTCTTTTTCTTTTTAAAAAAAGATTTATTTATTATTGGAAAGTCAGATATACAGAGAGAAGAGAGAGAGGAAGATTCTTTGTCCACTGATTCACTCCCCAAGTGGCTGCAATGGCCAGAGCTGAGCTGATCCGAAGCCAGGAGCTAGGAGCCTCTTCTGGATTTCCCATGCGGGTACAGGGTCCCAGGGCTTGGGCTGTCCTTGACTGCTTTCCCAGGCTACAAATAGAGAGCTGGACGGGAAGTGGAGCTGCTGGAATACAGACTGGCACCCATATGGGATCCTGGGTGTGCAAGGTGAGGACTTTAGCCACTAGGCTACAGATCCTGAGAGACTGTAAACTCTCAGGGTCTTGGCAATGTCTTTAAAAAAACATTTTTTTAAAAGATTAATTTTTAGGCAGAGCTACAGAGAGAAAAAGAGACAGAGAAAGATCTTTTATGCACTGGTTCATTCCCTAAAAGGCTGCAGTGGCCCGAGCTGAGCTAATTCTAAGCCAAGAACCAGGAGCTTTTTCCAAGTCTTCCATGAAGCCCAAGGACTTGGGACATGCTCTACTGTTTTCTCAGGCTATTACCAAGGGGTTAGATGTGAAGTGGTGCAACCGGAATACAAACCAGGGCCTATGTAGGGATACTGGCATTTGCATGCAGAGGATTGAGCCATTGTGCTGGCCCTGGGTGTCCCTTTTTTGTTTTATTTTTTCGTGTGTTTGTAAGGCAGAGCTAGAAAGAGAACAATCAAGCTAGAGAGAGAGAGAGTGAACACATGTGGGAGCTTCCATGTGCTGGTTCATTCCCCATAGATCCATGACAGCCAGGGCTGCCTGGCCAGGCTGAAGCCAGGAGCAGGAAGTCCAGCTGGGTCTCTGTTCAGGTGGAGCCATCCTCCACTGCTTCCCAGGGTGCCCCAGCAGGAAGCTGGATCAGAAGGAGGACAGGCACTGTGTTATGAGATATGTGCATTCCAAGTGGCAGCTTAACCAGCTGCGCCACAACACTCAAGGCTGTGTTCTTGATGCCTTTGCAGATCCGTAACTTTTGCAAAGCATCAACAAGGAGCTACCACTGTATTGTCTTTTAAATATTATTGTCGATTGACTCCCAGGCCAGGTGCTGGGAACTTGGTCCAGGTCTCCCACATGGGTTAAGACTGGAGATATATCACCTGCTGCCTTCCTGGTTGCCATTAGCAGGCAGCTGGATCTGGGAGTAGAGCTGGGACTCGAACCCAGGCTCTCCAGTACGGGATGCAGGCATCCTGAATGACGCTGAGTTCTTAGGCCATTCCCTGCCCCAGAGCTTGTGTGTTTCTGAGCACCCAAGCAGAAGTGGCGTGGCTGCCTACATTTCTCCAGCCAGAGTGGGCACCCCCTTCATCATATGCTGGGGCAAAGGGGTCCATCCCTGCCCTGGCTGGTTCCACCTCCCCCTTCACTACATGCCCTCTTTGCCCACAGGTCTTGGGTCCTGAGGCTGCCGGCAGACTATGGGTACAACGGCCAGCACGGCCCAGCAGACGGTGTCGGCGGCGGCTGCCTTTGAGAGCCTCCCAGGCTCCGCGGGCGCAATGGATGGTCGACATTCACTCAGCGTGCACTCCTTCCAGACCACCAGCTTGCACAATAGCAAGGCCAAGTCCATCATCCCCAACAAGGTGGCCCCCATCGTGATCACGTGAGTGACAGGCACCTACCTGCCGGGAGGTGTGGTGGCCTCGAGCACCTAGCCTGACTTTGGTTTTGTAGGTGAAGACACCGAGGCCCAGAGAGGTTTGTCCAGAGCCGCGTGACATGTGGGGGACAAGGTTGGGGGTGCTTTGTCATGTGTCCCTGAGCCTATATTCCTTACACAACCACAGGACCAGCGACCTCTGGGGAGGAGCTTGAGGGAGACCCTTTTGAAGACCCTTTTTGGCTGAACATTTTCAGAGGGAGTTCGTAGATAAACAGACTTTAGCTGTTTTATTGGTCTGATTGGAAACCGAGGTAACCCACGAGGGCCTTTGAGGGCCAAGGCAGGAAGCTGGGAACTGCCGCTTGGTGCTGGTGGTGTGGGTCTGCAGGAGTCTCTCCTGTGGGGCTGGCGGTGCCCTGTGAGAGGCTCAGGGCCACTGTGCATGTACGCAGAGCTTTGGCACCTGTCTGTCCCGAAGGGCCCAAGGACTGGAGCTTGGAGAGGATCTTGGCTCCATTTCCAGTGACTTGGGAAGCTTTGTTCTTTCCATGACACCTGCCCACCCTGCATCCCTGCCTTCCGTGAGGTGGGGAGCTCAGGACGGAGCAGCGGGGCCTGTGTGTCAGGAGGGCTGAGGGGTAGGAAGGGTCGGGCTCCCGTGCCTGACTGGAAAAGGTGCCATAAATTCTCACTGTGCCCATGACGGGGAGAAGAGATGCTGAGTGAGACATGATGTGTCGTTTCTGTACTGACAGACATCTAGAGTGGGTTCGCACCTTGAAGGCAGCGTGTCCCAGGCCTGGTCCTGCCCCCACCCCCCATGGCCGTGTGACCGGGAGCAGGTCCCTTTCCCCTTCTGGGCTTTAGTTAGATGACTCGCAAAGCAGTTAACTGGGGCAGGTGGCGTGGTGCTGATGGCTCACAGCCTGCGTCAGGGGTTCCAGTTCAGGTCCCCACTACTTTGTTTGCAATCTGGCTTCCTGCTGAGAGCAGCGGAGGATAGCCCAGGGACAGAGTCCCAGGCAGCCACTTGGGAGACTTGGGTGGAGTTCCTGGCTATGGTCAGCATTTGGAGAGTGAGCCAGCAGATGGAAAGTCTCTCTCTGTTGCTCTGCCTTTCAAGTAGATGAAAATTCATAAGGATTTGGCAAAGTGTGTGTCTCCTAAGAGCCACTGGCCAAGTGTGAAATCTAGCATGCGGCATTGTGCTCAGGGCTTGGAGGCAGCCAGGGGCACTCTACTGTTTGGGTTGTGGAGTGTTCTCGGGGGAAGGAACCTTAGAGATCATGTGATGAAACATAGGCTGACAAACAGCACCCTGTGGTCAGCAGTGGCCTACCATCCATTCTTGTAAATTAAGTTTTATTGAGACACTGCTGCTCTCATTCATGGCGCTGTAGGTGCTTTGAGCTCTGGCGTCCTCATGGGCCAGCAACCTTGCTTACTACCCCAGTGACATCAGCAGGTGGCTTCCATTTTCTGGACTGAGGTGACTTCTGTTTCTACCATTACGTCAGGATTTAAGCCGGAAAGAAGGAGCAAAAACAAAGCAGAAAGTGTCTTCCTTTTAGGAATGGCTCAACATTTGCACGTGGCATTTTTCCTCATATCTTATTGGCCAGAACTTAGTCCCTTGATAGCTGAAAGGGAGGCTGGGATATGTAGTCCACATTGGGGTTACCCATTTTCTATTTTCAATTCTAGGGTCCTGATGCTGAAGGGCTAGGTGGCAGTGGATACTGGTGGGCAGTGATCTATTTCTGCCCCAAATGGGTGGGTGGTCCTAGGTTCAGGGAGGGCAGATGGGACCCTGATTCTGAGCACAAATGGGACCTTGACCTGATGTGGTTTCCATCCTGCCCCTGGCAGGTACAACTGCAAGGAGGAGTTCCAGATCCATGATGAACCACTCAAGGCTCACTATACCGTGGGCCGGCTCTCGGATGCCACCCCCGAGCACTACCTGGTGCAGGTGAGGTCAAGCCCTTCCCTGACAGCCTCTGCTTCCTCCTCCATCCTCTTCCTTCAGGGGTTCCCTCCTGCACCTGCACTGGCTCCACCCCATCCCACAGGACGCATACAGAATGCTGTTGTTACAGACCACGGCTTTACCCACTGTGCTGTTGTGCTGGTCCCTGACTTTTTTAGGGAAAAAAAATATCTTTATTTGAAATGTATATTGGAAATGGGGGCAGGGAGAGGGAGAGCAATCAATCCTGTACCTGCTCATTTACTTCCCGCATGGCTGTAGTAACTGGGGGTGGGCCACGCTGGCCAGGAGCCACCCTCTGCTGCTCCCCAGGTGCGTTAGCAGGAAGCTGGATCCAAGATGGATGTTTTGGGATGTGGACAAGCACTTGGGTACCCGTTCTGTCTCCACTTCCTGTCCCCTGGAGCTCAGGACAGAGCCCCGCTTATAGAAGTTACCCCTGCCCTATCTGAGTGATGCCCTGTGTCTGTCCCCTTGCCAGGGTCGCTACTTCCTGGTGCGGGATGTCACTGAGAAGACAGACATGCTGGGCACCTTGGGGAACTGTGGTGCCCCCAACTTCCGACAGGCACGGGGCAGTCTCGCTGTGTTTGGCATGGGACAGCCCAGCCTGTTGGGCTTCAGACAGGTGCTCCAGAAACTCCAGAAGGATGGGTACAAGGTAAGCACTAGGCTAGCCCCTCTAGGTACTCTGCTGCCCAGGATAGCCCTTCAACTCTGGGAAAATGACTCTCAGGAGGGGGCCTGGCTATGCACTGGGGAGAGAAGGTGGTGGCCTAGACCAGGCCCTGCCAAATGCAGGGATGGCCGTTGTGGTCTACATGGGCTGAGACGTTCTGATGATGGCATTGAGGCGGCATTGGAGGTTGCTTTGGTGTGCTGAGTTTTGCCTCTGGGGTAGGAGTCAGGTGGCAAAGCTAGGATGGAGTGCTGGGAGCTCAGGGAGGGAGGCTGGGCCTGGACAGAGGCCCGAGACCGGGCTAGGGAGTGGCTGCTGCGAGTGCTGGCTGATATGGAAGTCCCTCTTACCCTGGGCTCCCACAGGAGTGTATTATCTTCTGCGTGCGGGAGGAGCCGGTGCTGTTCCTGCGTGCCAAGGAGGACTTTGTGCCCTACACACCTCGGGACAAGCAGAGTCTGCCCCACAACCTCCAGGGCCTTGGCCCTGGGGTCCCTGCCGAGAGCCTGGAGCTGGCCATCCGCAAAGAGGTGAGGCCAGGCCAGCGGGCTCGGCAGAGCTCCCCTCTCTGGGGCCTCAGGCAGCTGGACACACCTCCCTGGGCCTGGCTCTGCTGGCTGTGCTGTGGGCTTGTCTGCAGCTCCTGGCCACCTGAGCCTTCCCTGCCCCTGCCATCACTCCCTGCACAGAGCCCTTGATCTGGCACTGCTGCTCTCGGGCCTGGGGCCTGGTGCTCCCTGAGCTCAGCTGGGTGTGTGTTGGGGGATTGTGGCCCTTAGCCTCCTGCACCTTCTGCCAGATCCATGACTTTGCCCGACTGAGTGAGAATACATACCACGTGTACCATGACACGGAGGACCTGCGGGGTGAGCCCCACACTGTGGCCATCCGGGGGGAGGACGACGTGCATGTGCCCGAGGAGGTGTACAAGCGGCCCCTCTTCCTGCAGCCCAGCTACAGGTAGCGCCTGGCCCCGGGTGCCCTTGCAGCTGCTCTACCACTCCTGCCATCTGTCATGCCCCCCTCACTCCCTCACGGCAGGGGGCCTGCCTGATGGGCTCCCTCACCTGGCAGGTACCACCGGCTGCCTCTGCCAGAGCAAGGAGCCCCTCTAGAAGCTCAGTTGGATTCCTTTGTCCGTGTCCTGCGGGTAAGTGGGCAGGGTGGCTTGCTGGGGCAAGCGTGGCTCTGTGGTGTGCCTGGGGCCTCTGGGTTGGACTGGTGTCAGGGTCTTTAGTAGTGAGCGTGCAGTATGCAAGTTCTATGTCTCTGCATGTTGGACACATGCCCGTGTGTGTGTGTATGTGTGTGTGAGGGCACTGCAAAAATTCACGGAAAATGGAATTAAAAGCAAGGGAGGGTATCTGACTGGGTTTGAATTCATTCTCTCATTTCTCCCTCCTCCTGCCTATAGCTTTCAAATAAATAAAATCGATGTTGAAAATTATTAACAAAAAGAGGCCTGGTGCAGTAGCCTAGCGGCTAAAGTCCTCTCCTTGCATGTACTGGGATCCCATATGGGTTCCAGTTTGTGTCCCGGCAGCCTGACTTTCCATCTAGCTCCCTGCTTGTGGCCTAAAAAAGCCGTAGAGGATGGCCCAAAGCCTTGGGACTGTGCACCTGCATGGGAGACCTGGAAGAGGCTCCTGGCTCCCGGCTTCAGATCGGCTCAGCTCCAGCTGTTGTGGCTACTTGGGGAATGAACCAGCAGATGCAGGATCTTCCTCTTTGTACATCTGATTTTCCAATAAAATAAAATAAACCTTTTAAAAAAATTTAAGAAGTCAGTTGATTTTGGTGCAAAAATGTTTGGAAATCTCAGCATAGTTTTTTCATAATGCACATTTTCCAAGAAGCTTTCTTTTATGTGTGAATTTCAACAGTTTTTTTTTGATCTAAAATAAAAATGAAAGTTTATTTTTAAAAAGATTTACTTGTTTTTATTGGAAAAGCAGATTTATAGAGAGAAGGAGAGACAGAAAGATCTTCCATCTGCTGGTTCACACTCCAAGTGGCTGCAACAGCTGGAGCTGAGCTGATCCAAAGCCAGGAGCCAGGAGCCTATTCCAGGTCTTCCATGCAAATGCAGAGTCCCAAGCTTTGGGCCGTCCTTAATTGCTTTCCCAAGCCACAAGCAGGGACATGAACTGGTGCCCATATGGGATCTTGGTGCATGCAAGGCGAGGATTTAGTCCTGAGCCATCACGCCAGCCCCCCCCCCCAAAAAAAATTTAAACAATTGGCATTCATGCAGGTTTGAAAAATTTATTCATTTTGTTTTAAAGTCAGAGAGGGAGAAAGGGAGAGACAGAGATCTTCCATCTGCTCATTTACTCCCCAAATGGCTGCGATGATCGGAGCAAAACTAATCTGAAGGCAGGAACCAAGAGCTTCTTCTGGGTCTCCCACACGGATGCAGGGTCCCAAGGCTTTGGGCCATCCTCTGCTGCCTTCCCAGGCTACAAGCAGGAGCTGAATGGGATGTTATGGAAAATGGAACAGCTAGGAAACAAACTGGCACCTATATGGGATGCCAGCACTATATAGGTGAGTTAGCCGAGTATGCCACCACACCAGCTCACCTCACCCAAAATAAATTTATCTTTCAATTCTATTTTTCTGTCAACTCTTAAGTACTCTTGTATAGCATGGATGTGTGCACACCTGTATGGAAGAAGTTATGTGTGTGCCCCTGTGTGGTCATGCATGTGTGTTGCCTTGTGCACGTTTGAGCAGCCGCTTGTAGCACTGGCTGCTGGAGGACCAGGTGCAGTCATGGCTCTGCTGCTCAGATGCTGTGTGGTCTTGGCCAGGTTGCCATACCTACTCTACCTCATTGCTTTAGGGGAGCAGGCGAGCCTCATCCTTCCTTTTCAGCCAGTACTTCCTGGATCCTGGCAGTTTCTGTGCCAGCCCCTGTGTTTGTGTCTCCCAGGAAGTTTTGCATGCAGGCCCAGCTCCCCTGAGTAGTCGTCAGTCCCAGGACCTAGACACTTGTACACCAGCTCATTGGGTGCCTTCCAGGTTCCGAGTGGGGCAAGTGGAGCAGCTTGGGCTGTGGATTTGGCATGAGAGGTTGAGCTGCCTGGCTGGCAGCACCAGCTTGCTCCACGTGCTGGGGTAGCGGGCTGCTGTTTCATTTCCCTGGCTTGGGCCCCAGCCTTAGGCCTTGGGGACATGTGGCTGCCTCATGGCCATGGTCTTTTCCCAGGAGACCCCCAGCCTGCTGCCGCTCCGCGATAGCCACGGGCCGCCCCCTGCCCTCCTCTTCATCTGCCAGACGGGTGTGGGCAGAGCTAACTTGGGCATGGTCCTGGGGACCCTCATCCTGCTTCACCGTAGCAGGACCACCTCTCAGCCAGAGTGAGTGGCCCTGGGGCTATGGGAGGGTGAGGAGGGCAGGGGGCGTGCTGGCCCTGGGGTTGGCAGGGGCATGGCCAGGAGCCCAGAGCCAGCACTGGCACCTGGACCTCATTCCCTGCTCCCCAACCCCGTGCTGTATGACCTGACAGCATCACTGGGCCTCTCAGTGTGTTTTCCTGCTTGGAGGGAGCCCTCTGCTTCCCACCCTAGTGGCTGGGTGTGTGGGGCTGGGCTTCGTGATCCCCCATGACTGATGCTGCCCTGCCAGGACTGCCCGGCCACTGCCCATGGAGCAGTTCGAGGTGATCCAGAGCTTCCTTCGGGTGGTGCCTCAGGGCCAGAAAATGGTGGAGGAGGTGAGTGGGGCTGGGGCATGGCCACGGGGGCCCGCAGTCACTCCTCTTCTTCTCCATGCCGTGTGCATCTTTCCTATCAACCCTTCTGTTTTGCCTACCCGCCTCTCCTGTCCCCCGTCCTGTTTCCTGTCCAGGTGGACCAAGCCATCAGTGCATGTGCAGAGCTGCAGGACCTGAAGGAAGTAGTCTTGAAAAACCAGAGGGAGCTGGACAGCGCTGGGCCTGAGGTGAGGCCCGGGCCGACCCAGAGCCCTGCAGCACACTGGCTGCGGAGGGTCGGCTGTGTTCTTTCAGGCTGACTTTTCCGGGGTTGGGAGGAAGGTGAGCTAAGGCGCAAGGCCCAGCAGGAAGGAGCGCCTAGGGAAGTTTATGTTTCCCAGATCAGTTCCTCTTGACTGCAGCATAAACAGGATGGAGGAAGGGGCTGCTGGCCAGGGCGGCCAGAGCCTCTGGATTCAGATGCGACCTGGACCGTTCGGCTCCCCCCACAGGCAGAGCTTCGGGGAATTCTCCAGGAGGCCTCGGTTCAGTCTGCCCAGCAGCCCCTGGCAGGGCAGAGGCCAGTGGGCTCCCTCGGCCTGCGTGTTTTCCCACTCTGGTAGACACAGTGTTTGAGAAGGATCTAGAGGCTCAGGACCCTTTTCTTCTTGAACACTTTTAAGAAATGCCTTCTAGGGACTGGGGCACTGTGGGTTAAACTGATGACTTTGTCACCAGCATTGCTTATGTGCCGGTTCAAGTTCCTTCAGGTTCCGGCTGCTCTACTTCTCATCCAACTCCTTGCTAATGCACCTGGGAAAACCCAGAGGATGACTCAAGCATGGGGGCCCGTGCACCCACATGGGAGATCCAGATGGTGTTCCAGGCCTAGCCCCCATCTTCATGGCCACGTGAGAAGTGAATCAATGGTTGGAAGATCTCTCTTTTTCTTCCTCTCTATAACTTGGCTTTTCAAATCAATTATATATATATTTTAAAGAAATATTGCTTAAAGGTAGTATTCTAGGACTGAGAGCTGGGAGACATGAGAAAAGGAAAAGGAGCACTTGGCTGCTGGGAGCACGTGGAGCATCTGCTCGGACTGGCTTGTCAAAGTCATCCCAGCATTGCTTCCCATCTGCTTTGTTGCCTTCCCAGCTTCCACCCGCCCCATCCTGCTCCCTGGGGTCTGTCACTGAGATTGCTGGCGGCTCAGTGACTCAAACCTGGACTGTGCTTGGCCACCCTGGCCTCATACGTGAATCTCAGCTTGGAGCCAGCTGCCTGGGGCCTGATCCTGGGCCCTACTGTGCATGCCACTCACAGGTGCATGTGCTCGGGCAACCTGTGCCTCGTCCACCCTGTGCCTCCATCTCTCTGTTCATGAGTGGGGCTCTGTGGCTTGTGCAGCTGCTGTGGACGTGTGGCACAGCAGGTGTCTCTGGACCGGCTCTTGTGTGACTCACCAGGTGGTGGTGTCTTCCTGGGTTGTTCTGGCTCCTCATCCACATGTGCTGAGCAGCCATTTGAGCGAGAAATCTTCCAGGAACTTAACAACTCTTTCCTTGGTCTAGATCAGGGTCAGCAAACTCCTGAGTCAAATCTAGCCCCCTCACCCGATTTTGTAAATCATTGAAAAAATTATCTGGGAGGCAGGAGTCAGGGAATATCTTCTACCCATTACCCAGATCCTCACAGTGTCAGGACCTGGCCAGACTGGACTGAAGCTGGGAGCTGTGAGCCTAGTCCAGGTTCTCCCATGGATAAGGATGTGGCAGGGACCCAGCTAGGTGAGCCATCCCCTGCTGCCTCCAGGGGGTGCTTTAGCAGGAAGCTGGAGCCAGGACTGAGCCTGAGCACCCAAGTGTGAGAGGCAGGCATTTAACCTGTTGGGTGAGTTACCTGCCCCCTGTGGGCCAGTGTTAGTGGTGCAGTCTTGCTGGTTCCCTGCCTGCTCTCCTGTTGTTATGGTCGAATTGTTGCTGCCCACAGACATGGAAGTTTCCTGAGTCACTGGAGAAGTTTGCTGAGGCTGGAGCTTGGATCAGTTGGATCAACTGGCAGGAGCCTTCTTTGGGGCCTGGGCCAATCTCACTTGCCCTCCTGGGAAGGCTGACCCAGCCAGGGGTACCCTGACACCCAGGGTTGAAGAGGGGATCCCCAGTTCTCTGTCATGGCCCCTGCCCTGGAGGATGCAGAGTTGGGCTTTGGAGATTTGGGGATTCAGCAGTGTTTGCCCTCGCTGTGTGACTTGAGGAAGTTGCTTGCTCCCACCCTGCCTTGTCTACTGAGCCTCTGCCTCTGTAAACCAGGGGTCTGTCATGGGCCCCTGGAGCATGGCTGGAGACGGGGTAGGGGGACCCAGTTCCCATAGGAGAGCCTCTGGCTCCAGTGGGTGTGGGTGGGTGGTGGTGTGCACACTTATTTATTTAACATGGAGGGTGCAGGACATGGTACGGGGCTGGGGAGGGAGCAGAGCCAGGGAACCTCTGTCCAGTCCAGATCTGGGGCAGAGGGGTGGTGTCTGCTGGGGAACTTGCTATTGTCACTGGCAGCCTCTCCTGCAGTAAGTGGTTAGACACTTAGCAGAACCGTGTTGTGGAGTTAGGCTGCCCTCCCACCTTTCTGGGGAAGGGGACAGGATGACCTAAGGAGTTCCTCCCATTTAATACCCCGGCCTTTTTGCTGGCTGCTTCTCCAGGAAAGTGGCCGCAGGCACAGTGTCTGGCAGAGGGCGCTGTGGAGTCTGGAGCGATACTTCTACCTGCTCCTGTTTAACTACTACCTTCATGAACAGGTGGGTGTGGAATGTCCTGCCCCTCCTCCCAGGGCCTCTACTCTGGGGTGCTTCCCGTGTTGCTGGGGGACCCTGGTGGAATGGGGAGGAAGGGTGGGAGTAGCCCTGCACCTTGCCCCTGCTCTACTTTCTGCATCCTCAGCCAGGGCAGTGGTGGCCAGGGGCAGGCAGGCAGAGCCCAGGATCACCCTGCACCCCTAAACGCTGCCTCTCTCTGCCACGGGCTGCAGTACCCGCTGGCCCTCGCCCTCAGTTTCAGCCGCTGGCTGTGTGCCCACCCTGAGCTGTGCCGCCTGCCTGTGACACCGAGCCTGGCGGGGCCCTTGTCCCCCAGAGATCTCATTGCCAAGGGCTCCCTGGTGAGTGTGTGGCTGTCCTTAGTGGGGGGTGGGGGTGGGGGGATGGATCCCCTGCCCACTGAGCAGGGGGTTCCTGGGGCTTGGGTTAAGCATTGTCTGTTGGATGCGGAAGTTCAAGAGTCCAGAGCCTCAGCATCTCTGCCACCAGCTTCTCATTTCTGAGCCTCAGCTTTTCCCATCCTGAGAATGGGTGTGCTGCTCTGCCCTGGCCAGGCTGGTGTGCAAAATCACTGTTCTGTCCCTCCTCTGCTCGTTGTGGCTGAGGGTCCTCAGTTCTGTGCTTTCCCTGCAGGGAGCAGATGATCTCGTGTCCCCGGATGCCCTCAGCACCGTTCGGGAGATGGACGTGGCCAATTTCCGACGGGTGCCCCGGTTGTCCATCTATGGCATGGCCCAGCCCAGCATCAAGGTGACCAACAATGCTGGCTCCTCAGGGCCGGGGGAGGGCTAGATGGAGTGCTGCCACCCACCACCCTGTGTCCCACAGGCCCTGGGCAGCATCCTGGCCTATTTGACGGATGCCAAGCGGAAGTTGCGGCAGGTGGTCTGGGTGAACCTGAGGCCGGAGGCTGTGCTGGAGTGTGACGGGCACACCCACAGTCTGCGTCTGCCTGGGCCGCCCCTGGGCCCTGCCCAGCTGGAGGTGAGGGGTGGTAGCCCTTGGGAGCGGCCAACCTGGGAGCCCCATGTCCTCCCTGGCCTCGGATGGGGCTAGGCTGCAGTCTGCCTCAGCACCTGTGCCTTCCTACCCAGGCCCTGGAGATGCAGCTGAAGGCCCAGCTTGGCCTGCCTGTCCCTGGCACCAAGGTGCCTGTCCCTGGCACCAAGGGCCTTCCTGTCCCTGGCACTAGTGCCCGGTTCCAGACGTGCCTGACCATGCAGGAGGTCTTCAGCCAGCAGCGTGCCACCTGCCCTGGTCTCACCTACCACCGTGTGCCTCTGCCTGACTTCTGTGCCCCCCAGGAAGAGGTGAGGAGGAAGGGCCCGGAGCCCCACAGCCAGAGGATGGGCATGGGACTCTTGGGAGACGGCTGTGTGTGTCTGTGGTGAAGGTGTTTCAGGTCCATGCTGAGTTTTCCATTGTGTCCATTTTCCTGAGTCTTTTGAGGGCCCATGATGTGCTGGGTGATTGTTTCAGGGGTGTGTGTGTGTGTGTGTGTGTGTGGGCACAGTGCATCTTGCAGGAGAGTGTATGTTGCCATGATCCTGGTTTCTGTGGGGTGTGTGTCTTTCAGAGAAGACACACCTACAGGGGTACTGCATGCTGTCAGTGCTGGGTCATCTTGGTTCTGAGTGGTGCTGGGTGCTGGGTCATCTTGATGCTCAGTGGTACTTGTGCTAGGTCATCTTGGTGTTCATTGGTGCTGGTGCTGGGTCACCTTGGTTCTTAGTGTACTGGTACTATGTTATCTTGGTGGTCAGTGGCATGCTGGGTCACCTTGGTGCTCAGTGGTACTGGTGCTGGGTTGTCATGGTACTAATTGGTACTGGTACTGGGTCATCTTAGTACACAGTGGTACTGGTGCTGGGTCGTCATGGTGCTGGTTGGTGCTAGAACTGTCTTGGTGCTCAGCAGTGCAGGTCCATGTCTGGGCTTAGGGAGCAGGACGCGGTAAACTATTGGCATGTGTGTGGATGTGAGCATGTCACGTGTGTCTTGTGGACAAGTCATGGCATGTGTTCCCTGGGTGTTCGGGTCTTTCAGCCATGTAGACGAGTTATGGGGGGGGGTGCGTGCGTCTCTGCTGTGCTGCTTGTGGTCTCTGGGTGACCCGGTTGTGCTGCTGCTGCCGGGGAGGGGGGGACCTTGTGGCCTCAGTTCTGGCCGCTGCCTCCTGTGGTGTGCTGCCCCCTGGTGGTCCTGCGATGCAGTGACTGCAGGTGGAGCTGGAGCAGCCCTGGGGTGCACGCATGGGGGTGCATACACGTGTCCCGCCGAGAGGAGGATGGGTGCCCCGAGGCCCAGGGGTGTAGGGTGCTTGCTCCCACCTCCACCCCGCATGTCTGGGGCAGGGACAGCTGTACCAAAAGAAGCTGCTGCATGTGTATGGCCTCCATGAGTTGTGTGAATGCACTGAGCTGCTGGCACTAGGGCAGTGTCTGGGTGGGGTCCCTGTCGGAACGCTGCAGCCCAGAGTCCGCTCACCCCAACTCGGGCCTTGGCCTCTCCACTAGGACTTTGACCGGCTTCTCCAGGCCCTGCAGGCTGCCCTAGCCAAGGACCCCGACAGCGGCTTTGTGTTCAGCTGCCTCAGCGGCCAGGGCCGGACCACGATGGCCATGGTGGTAGCCGTACTGGTCTTCTGGCACATCCGAGTGCGTGAGGCTCCCTGTGGGAGGACCTGGCTCTGCCCCAGGGACACTGGCTGTGGCGGGAGGGGAGGGAATGAGATGGTGCCTGGAGCCTCCTCAGGTCTGGGCAGACACCCTCCTGCCCTGCTGTGGCAGGTCCCTGGGGTGGGGGTGGATGCAGCCTGGGCAGGGGCCCCTGTCTCAGCATCTGTTCCCACTCAGGGTTTCCCCGAGGTGGGTGAGGAGGAATTTGTGAGTGTGCCTGATGCCAAGTTCACCAAGGGCGAGTTTCAGGTGAGTACCCCTTGGAGGGCACCTCAGAGGGGCAATGGGTAGAGTCCCTGCTGGCAGGCCTGGGGGCATTGGCAAAGCCCCATCTAGTACTGTCACCTCTTCCTGAACATGCTTTCTTACGCCCATTTTATTGACAAGTAAACTGAGGCACAGGGTACCTTGGCTTTGAGGGGCCCTGGCAGGTGTCCACAGAGAAGGTGAGCCAGGCATTCCCATACCCCACCTGACCCTGCTGAGGGATGGGTCAGGAGCTTTGCTCTTGTCAGTGTAGTGCTGATGGCCATCTCCTAGGCACTGGGAAGCCAGCTACATTTGGTGGCTATGACGTGCAGCCTGTTCTGCCCAGTTTCCACTGGGCACAGTGATTGGGAAGCCATTAGCTCTGCAGGCATCTCCCTGTGCAAGCACGTGGACGGGTCAGCTCCCCTGTCCTGGCCAGCCTCTCCTCATACCTGCCCCCTGTCCCGGGCTGCAGTCCTTCCTCCTGGCCAGGCTTTTCTGCCCCCGGGCCTTTGCATCTGCTGCTGCTCTTGCCTCCCTCTCACTGCTTCTGCTCTTCTCTCCTATCTGGGAGAGATTCTTGCTACAGGAAAGGCGCCTCCAATCGCCTTCATCAGGCTCTGTAGCTGTCGCCATTGTTCGGAGTCTCTGTGCCCATAAGGCAGGGACTCCCTAGCCACCCCTGCCCCAGCCCCCTCCTCCATCCTGGCTCCGTGGACCCGGCTGTGCTGGGGCCTCAGGGCAGTGGAGTCTCATGTCTCATATGTGATTGTGCTCAGCGGGGTGCTCCCGAGGCTCCCTGTGGCAGGTGTCAGAGTCCCCTTGCCTGCCGTTTTCCCCATTGTCCCTTGCAGGACACCGGTCTTGCTGTTGGGACTTGGGGCTGTGTAAATCTCCGGGTCCCCCTGCCCCGGTCCCTGTGTGTGCGCACCCAGGAGAGAGGTGCTGGACAGGAGGCCTTGCTGTCCATTGTTTCCAGGAACTGTCCCCACCGCTGTGCCATTTCCCACCTGCAGCAGCGGGGTGCAAGGGCCCCAGCCTGCCTGTGTGCTCACCAACACTGGATGTCTCTTCACCAAAGCTGTTTTTGGTGAAGTCCACTTTGTTTTTGCTTTTTTTTTTGTTGCATTTAAGAAATCATTGCCCAGTCCAGTGTCCCTGAGCTTCCGCCTCCTCCCCCTGCAGTGTGAGAACATGTGACAGGCAGGGGCGGATGTCCAGAGCCCAGCCATAGGAGTGGGCTCAACCTGGAGCCGGGGCTACCGGCTTGGTGCCTAAGGAACCCCTGCCCTGGTCCCAGGTGGTGATGAAGGTGGTGCAGCTGCTGCCTGAGGGGCTCCGCGTGAAGAAGGAGGTGGATGCGGCGCTGGACACGGTCAGTGAGACCATGACGCCCATGCACTACCACCTGCGGGAGATCATTATCTGTACCTACCGCCAGGTGAGCCTGCCGCAGCCCAGGGGCCTGGGGTCCTGGGACCCCCACATCGGCTGCAGGTGCTTTTTCATCTTCTAGAAGTGGAGATGACTGTTAGTATGGAAACGTCCCCAGGTCCATGCCACAGTCACCTGACTGCAGTGTGCTGTGGGATGTGTGCTGGTCCAGGTGCAAGCCTGTGTCGCTCCTAGTGGGATGTATTCTAACAGGTGCTCATTAAGTGGTTTTGACGCTTTGTGAACGTCCAGAGAATGCACCTGCCAGGACCTGGCTGGTACAGGTGAGCTCCTGGCTGGTACAGGTAAGCTCCTGGCTGGTACAGGTGAGCTCCTGGCTGGTACAGGTGAGCTCCTGGCTGGTACAGGTAAGCTCCTGGCTGGAGCTCTTGATGCAGTTGGGACCTGCGGCATCCCAGGCTGCTGAGATTTGGTGGAAGGTGGTTTTACAGTCAACCTGGTCCCTGGCCAGCGGAAGGTGTGCCCCCTAGCGTCGGAAGGAAAGCGCAGCCCAGTGAATGCATTGATGTGGTAATTGACTTCCAATCTCGCTGGCCACAGCTTGGGCAGGATTGTGCTTCCTTTTAAAAAAAAAGATTTATCTATTTTTTAAAACTTATTTGAGAGGCAGAATTACAGAGAGAGAGGAGGAGGCAGTCAGAGAGGACTGCTGTCCTCTGGTTCATTTCCCAGATGGCTACAGTGGGCCAAGCCAGGAGCCTGGAGCGTCACCTGGGTTTCCTGCGTGGTGGTAGGGACCAAAGCCCGTAAGGGATGGCGGTGTCACGTGCGGAGGCTTAGCTTCTTCCACCGCAACGCCTGGCCTGATTGTACTGCAGTTATGGGTGGCGGGGCGGGAGGTTTGTCTGCATCCACATCCCCACAGATGTGTGACAGGGGCACTGCAGTGTCAGGGTGGCGGCAGGGTCACCAGGCAGTGTGGGTTTTGTTGTTAACCTCCATTCCGACAGCCCCTGTATACAAGGGTTATTTGTGAAGTTTATGGTAGGGATTGGCACTGTGGCACAGCAAGTTAGTCCTTCACTCTGTAAGCACCGGCATTACATATGGGCATCAGTTCTTGTCCCGCTGCTGTGCTTCTGGCACAGTTCCCTGCTAAAGCACCTGGAAAAGCAGAGGAGGAAGGCCCAAAGCCTTTGGATCTTGCACACATGTAGGAGACCTGGAAGAAGCTCCTGGCCAGCGGATGGAAGATTTTTTTTTTTTAAAGGCCCATGGTAAATTTGCATTCTGCTTTAACCCCATTTCCCCATGTCCTTAAAAAGCTACTTTTACTCTGACGGCAGAGAGACACAGGGACAGAGAGAGAGGAGAGAAACAGCTCCCATCTGCTGGTTCACTCCCCAGATGTGCCCAGGGATTGCTGTCTGGGGCCAAAGCTCAGAGCCTCTGTCCAGGTCTCTCCCAAGGGTGGCAGGAACCCAACACTGCAGCCACCACCACCTCTCAGGGTCTGCATTCACAGGAAGCTGAAGTCAGGAACCTGGGCTGGGACTCAAACCCAAGCACCCCAGTAGTGGACCCAGGCAGGCATCTCAGCCACTGTGCCAGGTACCTGCTCCTCCATGACCTCCACTGTATTCCAGGTCAGAGGTCATCAGGGAAGAGGGCATGTGTGGAGATGAAGCTGCAGAGGTGGGTGTGGAAGGGCGCCCTGGGGTTCCAGAAGAGAGCTTGTCCAAGTCCTCCAGGGCTAGGGGTAGTTACCCTGAGTCTAGTGTGGCTTTGTGTTAAGGTTGTGTGTGGTGCCACCAGGTGGCAGCAACGAGCCAAGCGGTGGAGACAGGGTTCTTGGCTGGCCAGGGCCGTCAGAGCCCCTTCCTTCACACCCCATGCCCACACCACAGCTGTCTGCATGTCCTTTGTGGACACACAAGCTGGGTCAGAAGGCACGACCTGCCTGAGCTGTGGGGAGGGTGGAGATACTGCCCAGGGCTGGGTTCACACAAGTCCCATTGTGAGACAGAGGGGAGAATATGTGGGCCAAGGCTGAGAGGCTGCCAGGTGCCCCGCGAGTGGAGAGCAGCCAGGGCGGTTTGGTGCCCACGCAGGTCCCTCAAGGCGTTGGAGGTGGGGTTGGCGAACTCTGTGGTTGGGGGACGGCAGGCGTGACTGGGGCTGGCGACAGAGGTGCTTGTTCTGGCTCTGTTCTGGGTGTGGACTCTGGTAAGGATGTGGGAGAAGAAGACTTTTGTGGGTGGTCTCTTTGGCCCCCAACCCTGTTCCCCAGGCCAGGGCGCTGCTGATCTCTGCCGGGTAAACAGGGTCCTTGAGTCCCAGCATGGCCACCAGGTGGCACCGGTGAGCTGAGTTCAGGACAGATTCTACTTTAGAATTTTTTTAAAAGGATTTTTATTTTTTGATGATTTTTCACATAGTTGATTACGATGATAAGGGTCAAGGGTCACAGGAAGGTGGGAGAGATCACCATTTCCATATTCTTTTTTTTTCCTGGGGGAAGGGTGAAGATAAGGAGAGGAGCCACACCCAGCCTCCCAAACTCTTCTGCACCCTGGGATGGAGGGCAGCCACCTGACACCACCCCGGGGTCCCAGATGTGGGACATGTTCTGAGGATCCTGCTCAAGAGATTTCAATAGTTCAACAGTTCTGAATTACTGCTGATCTCACTACTCTAAGCACGATGAAATCTCTCCAGAATCCACTGGCTGACACGGTCCACCTTAGAGTCTCCATTTGCCCAGATATTCACTGCCAACACTTGGCCAGGGTAGTTGATCAATTTGTTCTGTCCTCTGTTATGGTATCAGGTGTCCTCTGCAGGCTCCAGTGTACTGCCTCTATGTGCACCTGGATATGCTGACCACTGCTCTGTCTGAGCCACTGAGGAGGCCCAGCTCTGACACATGCACTCCACGGTCAGACCATGGAACCTGCAGTTCTCTCCATGGTTGGGGTTCTGAGTCCAGTGATTCAGTTGGGAGGAATCCTCAAAGAAACTTCATCTGAGATGATCCCAGACCTGATTCTTGTGTGTGCTTTTCAGTACAGGATCTGGCATAGTCTATCACCCAGTCATCTTATGCACATGCTTGTGGTTGCAGTTGCTGGGTCAGTTCTGTTTCCAGCCCTGTCTTCTACATAAACCAAATGAGTGCTGCAGCCCAACCCGATCCTGCCCAGCACACACCGGACCCTAACACAAACTGGTGGGAGCTGCAGCCTAGTTGGAGCGACCTGCAAGAACGCCCACCAGGCTTGCTCCCTGCCCTGGTTTCCATGCTTTCCAGTGTGTACAGCAGACTTGTCCTGTCTGTCCCATGTCCCGTTCAGCTCTCATACAGGTCAATGGGCATTGAAACCCAGTTCAACCCAACCAGCCCCACCATCCAGTCTACACATTTGCCGGTGGGTGCCACTCTCTGTCTAGCCATGCCTGCCCCAATCCTGGTTCTCATGCTCACTAGTTGGAGTGGCAACCCAAAAGGGAGGTGCCTACTTCCCTAATGAACCCACTCACACTCCCAGGTCATGCTCTCTCCAGGTGGTTCTGCAGTTTAACTTGACAGAATTTGCCCCCAGTGCCAGCATCTGCCAGCTGATGCCGTGGCAAAGCCCAGCCAACCCACACCCACTCTGACTTATGCATGCACCACCAGAAGGAAATCAGTCCAGCCTGGCATTTCCCTAATCCAGCTCACATGAGGCCAACAGGTGATTTAGCTCTGCCCAGTCTGGTCGGCCCCCATCCCAACTCATGCTGTCCAGTGGGAATAGTGACCCATCAGGGGAGCCCCACACAGCTTCCCTCCCAGCTTTGCCCCCTCCTCTCTTGGTCTCATGTGTGCTGCACCCAGTCTAGCATAGCCTCGGCATTTGCCAGTGGGTGCTGCAGCCTGGCTTGGCCTGGCCCTCTCCCAATTCTGGCTCACACTGGTGGGGGCTACAGCCTAGCCTAGCCCAGCCAACCCCCAGTCCTAGCCCTTATATGAACTGGATTGTGTTGCGACCCAACCCGGCGCAGCCCAATCTATATTCCATTCCGGCGTTTGGATTCACCAATGGGCGATATGAACTGGCCCTGCCTGGTCCAACCTCTACAGAGCCAACCAACACACTTGCCAACAAGTGAAGCAGCCCTGCCTGGCCTGACCAACACCCAGCCCTAGCTCATACACTCACCAGTGGGAGCGATGGCCCACCAGGGAAGTTCCTCAAGTTCCCCACTAGGCTCACTCTCAGACCCAGATCTCACATGTGTTAACAGGTGCTAGGCCAACACCCAGCAGTCTGCTCCCACAGTGTTGGCTTTTGTGTGAGCTGGTGGTTGCCACGTATCAGTTCTTGGGTGTGTCTGTGGGCACTATAGCCTGGACCAGCCCAGCTTGTTCCCAACCCCGGTACCCATGAGTGATGTTGAGTTCTATGGTCATGCCTAGCTCAGCCTGTCACGACCCCAGCCCTGGAGCAAATCAGCTGTTATGGCAGTCCCACAGAGGTGAGCGCACGATCCCACACAGAATCTGTTCCCAGATCCAGTTCTCTCATGTGCTGCTTAGTGTCATGGCCCAGCCTAACATGCTGTACCCTCTGCCCCAAAGTCCCTGGCAGGTACTGTGTTCAAGCCCTGCCGGGCATGCCCCCCCAGCCATTACTTTTGTGTGCGCTGGTAGATAGTGGTTGATAGCAAGGAGCCCTGTTCAGGTCTCCCATGTGGGCAGGTGTATTGGTTTGGCCTCAAAAGGTCCTCCAGTTTCCCTCCACTGAACTACACAGTCTTAACCCCCTTGTTTACCTTCAAGTACAGTAGCCAGGTTGGTGGAAGTTCCCAGAAGTCACTCCTCACTTGATGCATTCTTCCTCAGCAGTCTTCTCTCCCACACACCTCCAGGCCTGCTTCCCTGAGCAAACCAGAGTGCCCCATGTCTGGTCCTCTGGCATTATGCCATGCCAGCCTGCAGCACTCACATGCTGGCCCCCACAGCCTTTCTGTTGGTGTGCCTGTGTCTGCCCCCCCCTCCACATATCTTGAAAAAAAAAAAGAACAAAAACTAGAATAGATGAGATAGGAGAGTATGCCAGCACACTGGTATAGTTAACACAAATTTGGCATTAACCAGGTCTAGAATGCCCACCAGCTGTTGGCTGCTTTTCTCCCACTTACATAGATACAGTGCAGGCACTTACATTGCCTACAGCTGGGGGGATCTGTATTTCTGCATGTTGGTGGTCTTATGAAGCTGACTGCAGGCTTGGGGGCAGGGTGGGTGGCTCTTGGTGACCGGACCCCTGGTGACCTGCCCTGAAGTCACAGGTCTCAGCCACCTCCAGATTAGAGAGGATGTCTGGCCAGTTGGCGCTGTGCATGTGTGTGCGTGTGTGAGTGTGCACAGAGGATGGGGAGACTTCTGTTGAACATCTCTGTACTCTGAACTTCTGTCTCCACATTGGGACAGCAGACAGGCTTGGAGTGGGCACGGGGCTAAGGACTTTGATCTTTGGTCCTTGGAGAGGCCTGAGGTGTCCAGGGCGCTGGCCAATGCCCCCACATCATGACCCAGCCTCCTTCTATTTTAGGGCCCAGTCTCAGTGGGTGAGGAAGTCTTGTTAGGCTCCACCACTGCTAATGACAGCCTGGCATGCCAAGCGGTCTAAACAAGCCTCACTGGGCTTGCCCCAGGGAGGCGGCCAGCATCTGGGCGGCGCTAATGCAGTGCTGTCTTGAGGAAGCCAGGGGTTTGGTAAAAAGATGCATCCTTGTCCCTGACCCAAATCACAGCCCTGTGAGCGGACAGGAAGTGCCATGGAAACTCGGGGGTGGCAGGTGTCCCCTGGGCTCAGTGGTTTGGGCGTAGATGATTCTACCCTCTGGGAAGGAAATGTTCATGCTGCCGCTGCCCCTCCAGCGTCGTCCCCGGGAGTGGGCATGCTCAGGTCAGGGCCATACAGCTGTGACCTTGACCTTGGCTGTGGCTGTGGTCGAAACTTGAAGGCTTCTCACACCTCACAGGGTGGTTCTTGTCCAGGGGAATTGCAGCGGTTTCTTCACCTGCTTTTAAAGAGGCTTTTGCACGGGGGCTTAGGCGGATGTGGGGACAGGACACAGTCGGAGGGCGGGCAGCAGGGGAGGTGGAGGGAGGCAGCAAGGAGTGAGAGAGGCAGGGGCATGTTGCACGGATCATGGTTTGTGTTTAGGGAAAGGCTTTTCTCGATGGTTCCCTGCCTGATTTCTAAGTAACACTGATCAATCAATCGGCTGATGTTTTGAGCACGTGCTTAATGTGCCTTAAGATAATCCTTAAAACCCTCAGCGACCTGCTCGCACCTGGCCTGACCACCTGCAACGGCAGCTGTGGGACGTCCCCAGCCTGAAGTCCTCACAGTCTTTACTTGATTGACCCTACAGGGTCAAGTTCACACCTCTCTGGACCTGGCCTTTCCACTGTACTCCTCACCCCTGCCACCAGCTCCTCTCTGCTTCCTGTCCTGGGCCAGACTCCATCTTTTATTTTTTTGGTTTTTCTAAAAAGATTTATTTATTTTTAATACAAAGTCAGATATATATAGAGGAGGAGAGACAGAGAGGAAGATCTTCCGTCCGATGATTCACTCCCCAAGTGAGTGCAACGGCCGGTGCTGTGCTGATCCAGAGCCAGGAGCCAGGAGCCAGGAGCCGGGAACCTCCTCCAGGTCTCCCACGCGGGTGCAGGGTCCCAAAGCGTTGGGCCGTCCTCAGCTGCTTTCCCAGGCCACAAGCAGGGAGCTGGATGGGAAGAGGAGCTGCTGGGATTAGAAGTGGTGCCCATATGGGATCCTGGTGTGTACAAGACGAGGACTTTTAGCCGCTAGGCCGTGCCGCCGGGCCCCAGACTTCATCTTTGACCCCTCCTTGTGTCACAGTCTTCCTGGCCTGCCTCAGGTGCCCCTCCAGGTGTCACTTCCTCTGGCTTCCTGGCCTGCGCCCAGTGGTGCACAGGTCTGCTTGCTTTGAACCTAGCTTCTTCCCCATCAGACCACAAGCCTCTTCTAACCCTGGCCAGCAGTGTCTTTGGGAAATGTGGGGCGGTTGCTTCTGGCCTCCTGGTGAGGGTTCAAGGGTGTCCGTGTGCTCTGCACAGTGAGCAGCTGCCCCCGCTTCTCTCCCCTTCCAGCTGCCAGAGCCTTCCTCTGTAGACCAGGGAGACTGTGAGTTCAGCAGAAGAGTGAGACTAGGACCCTGTGCACAGAATTCTCTGGCAGTCAGAGCAGCGATCCCTGCTCCTACAGCCCTCCTGGGCTCTGGCTGCTGTCTGCCTCCCACCCTGAGGCCCCAGAGCTCCCTCTGGGTAGGTGGGTCAGCCAGGCCAGTTACTGCCCAGGTACACAACCCTGGAAGTAGAGGTGGCAGGAACCTGGAAGGGGCAAGTAAGGGGAGGGTAGGGACACACGTAGGGACCTGCCTCCAGTGCCAGTTCTTGGGGCCCGGGGGTGGGGAAAGGAGGATAGTTTGGCATTCCTGATGCAGCTGAGGAGGCACACACGAGTCGCATTGGGTGCTGCGCAGGAAGACTTGCAACCATTGAGAGCCCAGCTCTTGCAGCAGAGAGAGCTGCCAGGGGAACCTGGAGGCTCGGTGCAAATTGTGGCCTTGGAAAGCTGCTGCTGCTGCGCCAGTGCCCTCCCCTGCTGCTCAAGTCTTCCCAGGGGTTCTCAGGGACACAGCCTTGAGTCGCTCACCTGGAAAATGGGCTTCCTTAGCTGCCCAGAGTCTACCTACCACAACCGGGTCTCCCACTTGGATTGCCTTCTCATGCCTTATCGCCCAGCTGACCTCCCATGTGCTCCCGGAAACATGTTGTTCACTTGTGTGGCTGTCCCCGTCTCTCCCTGGCCTGGGTCTGGTTCCCAGACAGGTAATGCTGCAGTGGCTGAGCGAAAGAGACGCCCTAGGTTGGACATACGCCCTTGCCCCCTGGCCCCTGCTCCTTGGCTGCCCTGGAGCCTCTCTTTGCTCTGAGATCTTGTCTGGTCCTCCCCACCCCACACCCCACCTCTGCCCTGGCCAGAGGGAAGGCAGGGGTCACACACCTCTTCTGCCTCCACTCCTGAGCTTTTGGACAACAGGTAGGGATATCACTGGGGACCTGTAGGGCACCCTGATATGAGGAGCTCAGGCCAGGGGAGGGAGAGAGGGGCTGGCGCTGCCTCCACAAGGCAGAATCGGGAGAGCTCAGCCCTGACACTCACTGCCATCCATCAGTCCCCTTCAAGGTCATGGTCAGAACCCTCTCTCCCTCTGGGGGCAGGTCTGAGAAGCCAGAGGGAGGCACATGAGGTCTGCTTTAACCCTGGAGGGGCCAGGGCCAGAGGCAGCAGGTTTTGGTGGTAAGGGCCCTCCCTGTGGTCAGAACTGACAGCCTGTCCTCTTCTGGGGGTCCCAGAATAGTGCAGTGTTCACAGGAGGAGAGGCAGGCTCGGGTCCTGCAGGCCCTCTTGGAAGGAAGGGGTCTCATGCCTAGGCCCCAGGTCCTTCCCGTAGCACCAGCAGAGGGATGTACCCTCTGGATGCTGTGTGGTCACCCCCTCCCTGCCCAGGGGCAGTGGGGTGCAGGTGTGCGATGGGGGCACTGGAGCCCTCGCACTGACTCCTCCCATCCTGCTGTACAGGCCAAGGCTGCCCGAGAGGAGCGGGAGGCATGGAGGCTGCGGCTGCGGAGCCTGCAGTACCTGGAGCGCTACGTGTACCTGATTCTCTTCAATGCCTACCTTCACCTGGAGAAGGCAGCCTCTTGGCAGAGACCCTTCAGTACCTGGATGCGGGAGGTGAGAAGAGGGGTGCCCGGGGGCTGCCTTACTGGCCTGTGTGCATGCAGTGCAGCACCTGCCGTACCTGTTAGGCGGGTATACCTTACAGAGTCTGCTATGCACCCATTGAATAGAGGGGAGACTGGGTGCAGAGAGGTTGCATAGCTTGTTCTGAGTCTGTGTTAGAGCAGGTTGCTGGCTTGAGATGCTGCAGTGGCTCTCAGCCACCTCCATCCCTCTGAGCTCAAACTCTGGCTTTGCTCTGGGCCCGGCTGTTTTTAGAGGCAAGAGCTGTGCCTGGCACCTGCAGGCCGGGAGCAAGGCATTCCCCGCTTCCTGTAATTATGCCTGTGCCAGGAAGCAGCATCTGTTGACCTCACCAGCAGACCTGGATAATCCAGATACCAGATTGGAATCAGCTGCCCTGAGCTGAACAGGTGGATCATGGAGCTGGCAGCCCAGCTATGCCTGAGCCACCGTCTGGAGCAGGTCTGAGTTCAGTTTCCTCCTTGAGCCCCTGGGCAGGCTGCAGGTGTTGGGCAAGGACGAGGGCTGTCCCTGCAACAGTGTGAGTGCCATCCTTGGGACCCAGGGATGAAGGTGACCAGGAAGAGGAGGGCAGGACTGTCTCTGTTCTTGGTAGCAGCTGCTTCTCCTGTCCCCTAGGGTGGTGGGAGAGATGGGGGCAGAGTAGGGGATGATAAGCGTGTGGTGCGGCTGCCTGTGCTATGGGGTGAGGCCCCAACTGGTCTGCCCACAGCTCGAGCCCCCACCAAGGGGCTGCTGTTTGCTGCTGCACCCAGGCAGCCACTCCAGCCCTAGTGCAGGTCCCAGTGGTGATCCCAGAGCTCAGGCCTGCATTCCTGGGACGCTAGCTCCCTGTTGAGTGCCCAGTGCAGGTAGTCTCCAGGCACAGTCCTGGGAGGCAGTTGTGGAGGTGGCTGGGATTGCGGGAGGCAGCTCCGTCCCCAACTCATCCCTGGACTTTGGATGGTGCCAGGGGCTTCAGGCAGTGCCAGGGGTAGGGTCACCTAGACACCCTGAAATGCTGTGCCATCTCTGTTCTCCTCCGCAGGTGGCAGCCAGTGCGGGAGTCTATGAGCTGCTCAACCAGCTGGGCTTCCCCGAGCTGGAGGGCAGCGAGGACCAGCCCTGCTCCAGGCTGCGCTACCGATGGCAGCAGTGGCCCGACAGCCCCGAACCCTCAGCCACGGGGGACTTCCTGTAGGGATGGTGCTTCTTCCTAGCTTCTCCTGGTAGGGCTCCACGCAAGCCTGGAGGTGTCTCAACAGGTCCTGTACTGCCTCCTCTTCCTGGAGTGATTGGGATGGGCTGGGTAGCCTGTGTGGAAAGAGCTCTATGTGAGACACTTAGCACAGCATGTGGTCAGCCTCCAGGGGCACCCTCCCCGAATCACCATACACAGTGTCCCGGTCTGCAGCCCCCCACCAGTGTCGGTTCCCTTCCCTTGCTCCCTCTAGCTGTTCTGTCCATTGCCTCTTCCCTGCCCTCCCTCCCCACCCTCATACTCTCACCCCCCTACCCTGGCTGCCCTCCTCACATCTGTCTGGCTTCCCAATGTCCCCTCTGGCCTAGGAAACCACATGGGCAGCTTGCATGGCTGTGGGTGGGCAGAGGCCCCGGTCTCTCTCCTTCCTTGGCCCATTCCTCTCCCTGGGGGCTGACAAGGTGGTAGAGGGTCCCAAGAGGCCAGAGGTACCCAGAGTCCCTCTTGGGGACCAGGTACAGCAGAGTGCCTGAGAGCCAGGTGGGAGGTGCTGAGGAAGCCACAGCCTGGAGCTGAGATCCTGCTGCGCCTGCCCTCTGCCCCGAGTGCCCAGGAGGGCCCCAGCTGCCTACTGGCTGCAGCAGGAGCTCCAGTCAGGGAGCACTGGGTTTGGGTCAGTGGGCATGTGAAGCACTGGGCTCAGGGTGGCGCAAGGAGGGGTGTCACTCAGATGCCAGGCTTCCCTTGCTGAGGTTCCTGGGCCACCCACAGTTAGGAACAGGAGGGTCAGACCCTAAGGCTGTGGAGGCCTCCAGCTAGGCCTGTGTGCGCATGTGGAAGGCTGCTCGGCAGGGGTGGTGGCAGAGGAGGGCCGTGTGGCAGTCCTGCAACTGTTCCAGCCCAGGGCCAGTGTCTGCTGGAACCCGGGCACTGGCCAGTGAGGAGGAGGTTGTCCGCCATCCAACTGGCCACCTTGCTGGGCTCGGGCACTTTGGCAGGAGCCCAGAGCCGTGAGGTGGGAGCAGAGGCCCATGCCATGCAGAGCTGCTCGGTGCCAGACAGCATTGCACTCCGTGGTCGAGGCAGAACTGCTGTGTTTAGGTGTGTTCGCTCTCTGTTCAGCTTTGCTCGTCATACTGCACAGATGAAGATGGGTAGCATTCTCTGCACCAACATCAAGAGAAGGCAGGATGGAGCTGAACCAGGAAGGATCCTCGGTGTGCTTGTGGTTGTCTCTGACTCTTCAGCTGTGCTGTGCTGGGACCAGGCACTTCACCTCTGCCTCAGCCTCAGTTTCCCCATCTATCAAATGGGAGAATACCGGCATACCTACCTCACAGGGGTGTTGTGAGGATCCAGAGGTTATTACTTTTTTTTTTTTTTTTTTGTACAGAGCTTTTGAGCATTAAAACCAGCTGAATGTGTGCGGTGTACCGAGGCGTCTGTCATGTGGACAGGTGGGGCTGCTCAGCTGGAGTGCCTGCTCCTTCCGAGTTGGAGAGTATGGGTCAAGAGCATCGGCCTCTTGCACTTTGGGCTTTAGATAGGGTTTTGCAGAGTCCCTACCCTCTTCCTTCCTGCCCGCAGTCGTGTCCTGGCCTGTGCAGGACTGTCATGCTGAGCTTCCCCCTCCAAGGAAAGCAATGTGACAAGCTAATTCTCACGGCAGTAGGGAACAAAGTGCGTGGAAGGTGGACCCTCAGCTTTCACTTCCTGTGCTGACACTCGTGGGCAGGTGTTTCAGGTGCTTGGTTAGTTGAGCACACTTGTGTAGGGAGACTGATGAGTAGAGAGGGTGAGGTGGACAACACCGCCCCCAGGCCTCTGGCCAGCTCCCTGCAGGGCCCTTTGGGTTGCAGGCCCACTATCAGTGGATGGTGGTCAGGAGGGAAGTGTGCAGGCTGGCAGAAAAGTTGAGCATGGTGTGGCAGTCGTCTTCCCTGCACCCCAGAGGCTGTGTGTGGTTCCTGCATGCTGGCGTGGAGTCTTGGGGATGGGGATATGGCTCTGCCATTCTCACTTGGGATAGGGGCAAGGCTGAGAAGCCCCCAGGAGTGGGTGGATGTCTCCCCTAGGCCTGCTTTAGGCTCTGGGATTGTACCAATAGGACTGGCTCCTTGTCAGTACTGCTAGTCCCATTCAGTGGGTTAACATGGCCAAGGAAACAATCACTAAATGAAGGTCTAAAACATGCTTGGGGGCCTGGCGGCGTGGCCTAGTGGCTAAAGTCCTTGCCTTGAACCCGCGGGGATCCCATATGGGCGCCAGTTCTAATCCCAGCAGCTCCACTTCCCATCCAGCTCCCTGCTTGTGGCCTGGGAAAGCAGTTGAGGACGGCCCAAAGCTTTGGGACCCTGCACCTATGTGGAAGACCCAGAAGAAGCTCCTGGATCCTGGCTTCGGATCGGCATAGCATTGGCCGTTGCACTCACTTGGGGAGTGAATCAACGGACGGAAGATCTTCCTCTCTGTCATTTAAAAATGACAACTTGGCAGATGTCTCCTAATAAGACCTGCAGATGTCCGACAGATTTGAAAACATATCCAGTGCAGGGCCCGGAGCAGTGACCTAGTCACTAAAAGTCCTCATCTTGAAAGTGCTAGGATCCCATGTAGGCATCAATTCTAATCCTAGCAGCTCCAGTTCCCATGCAGTTCCCTACTTGTGGCCTGGGAAAGCAGTCGAGGATGGTGCAAAGCCTCGGGACTCTGCACCCACGTGGGAAACCTGGAGGAGGTTGTTCCTGGCTTCTGGCTTTGGATTGGCACAGCACCGGCTGTTGCAGTTACTTGGGGAGTGAATCAGCAGACAGAAGATCTTCCTCTCTGTCTTCCTCTCTGTATATCTGACTTTGCAATAAAAATAATAAATTAATAAGAAAACATGTCCAGTGTCATGGCTAATCCTGAGAGATGCGTAGGGAAGCCTCAGTGAGGTGGCATTTGCACCTGCTAGAATAGCGGGTGTGAAAAGTCAGAAGGCCCCCTGCACTGGCAAGAGGGTGGAGCCTGTTGGTGGGAAGCAGCACGGAGGAGACTCACAAAGTTAGCGGGGGCAGCTCTGCTTCCTGGGCAATAGCAACAGAGCAGATAGGAAATGAGTCTGTGGAGGAGGCCCCTGCCCGGCTCAGTCCACTGCAGCCTCCCTCGCAGCAGCCAAGGTATGAACCCACACCAGTGCCCATCAGCAGGTGAGTGGATGGAGAGTGTAGTGCTGATGTGTCATGGAATGTCATGAAGCCTTCAACAAGAAGAACCTCTGTCATGATGACATCAGTGAGCCTGGGGGACATGACGCTGAGTGACATAAACTAGACACCCACGGGCAAGAGCCACAAGTTCTCATTTGGATGTTTCAAGTAGAACTCACACAACTTAAGATGCTGGTTCCCAGAGGTGGGGCTGTGGGAATAAATACTAGCCAGAGGACCAGTGAGGAGTAGTTTGAAGAGCTCTCAGCAGGAGGGTGTTGTATTGCAAAGTTCTACCTGTGTAGAATGTGTTTTCATGCCTAGAAATTGCATGCATTAATGAGCTCAGTGTAGCCATTGCATGATGAATAACGCACATTGGGATATCCTGTACGATTTTTGCCAATTGCAAGGTGTCTTTTAAAAAAACCATTTATTTTTATTGGAAAGGCAGATTTACAGAGAAAAGGAGAGACAGAGAGGAAGATCTTCCATGCATTGATTAACTCCTCAAGTGGCCACAACAGCCAGAGCTGAACTGATCCAAAGCCAGGAGTCAGGAGCTTCTTTTGGGTCTCCCACATGGGTGGAGGGTCCCAAGACTTTGGGTCGTCCTCGACTGCTTTCCTAGGCCATAAGCAGGGAGCTGCACCCAGGACATGAACCAGTGCCTTTATGGGACCCCAGTGGATGCAAAACGAGAACTTTAGCCACTAGGCACCACACTGGGCCCTAGAGATTGTTTTTTAGGAGCAGATCTCGGGCCTAGTGTTTGGGATACCCACACCCTGCATTCTTGGGTTGAATCCCCGCTCTATTCCCAATTCCAACTTTCTGTTAATGTGCATCCTAGGAGGCACAGGAAATGACTCCTACACTTGGGTCTCTGCCACCCACATGGGAGACCTGGGTTGGGTTCTAGGCTCCCAGCTTCGACCCAGGTCAGCCTAAGCTATTGTGGGGCAAAGTGAACCACCAGATGGGAGATTTCCATTTGTTTGTCTCTGCCTATCCTTTTTCTTTTTTTTTTTTTAAATGAAATTAAATTAGAAGAAAGGAAAGTTTTATGATTTAATTTGATCCTTTCTTGGTTAGTTCAAATGGCCAGTTATTTTAAAGACTTCTGTGTTAAGCCATTTCTTAATGCCAGTCTACATTGCTGAATGATAATTGTAAAACGTGAGTTAGCAGGAGGGGGTTTCAGCAGTTACGGGAAAGTGGAAGAGGCCCTGCTTGCCCACACGGCTCATTACTGTCACATGGCCATCCCTGCTGCTCTAGAGCTTCAGACCTCACCGCATGCGCTCCCAGTGCAGGTGACCAACCTGGGAGGTGAGAGATGAGGCCTTGGGTCTGTGCTTATGTGCGGTCAAGCACCCCAGCCAGGTCCCTGCCAGAACTCCCCTCCACATCCTTCCTGCCTGGTGAGGGCCTGGCCCCCAGGTGAGTAGCCTGACTGTCTGGTCCCCCAAGCCTGCCATGAGATCTTGCCTAACTTCCCTTTGAGCTTTTTCCCCCGCTTCTGTTTATAAAGGTCTTCATGCCTACTTAAACCCAGCAATGAAAAGGACAGTGTAGGGTAAGTGCTCTAGCCCCTGGGGTTGGCACCTGGGAAGCCCTGGTAACCCCTTTACCTCCGTCAGTCCCTACCCCTCCTTTCTTTTTGTTTCCCTGAATACTGCCCCTTCTCCCCCTCCCCACTTCATCCCATCCTGACTCTATGGCTCGGAATTGAACCATATCCCCTTCCCCTTGCGTTGGTCTCCAGGGTGAAGGTTGACCCTTCTCTGGCACCACTTGGTGGACATGAACCCCATGGGTCCTGACTTTGTAAGATCCAGTTCTCGATTGAGCATGCTGCCCCTCCCTGTCCCACTCCCCCAGCTGGCCCTCCCACGAGGACCAACAGAGGTACACACACTTGCTTCTTGATGCTGTGCGCGGAGGGAGAAGGCTATAGCTGTTGTTACACTCTGTCTGTGTGTGATGCTCCCACTGCCCCTTACACCAAGGGGAGAGCTGCTTCCCATGCTTGCTTTACATCTGTCCCAATTCAGAGACTTCCCATTCTGCAGCTCAGGAGCCTGCCCTTGGCTGGCCTCTGCTGGTGCCGCCCGGGATGTGGTCTAGATATGTTTGGGAGTTTCATGATTTTGGAGAGAATCTCATACTTACCATACATATTTATTTTATACAAATTATATAGTTATATTTTATTATATAATTATTTATATAAATGTATTCTATACATTTTTAATTATTCTAAAAGAAGACAGACATTCAGAGAACTCCTATTAGTTCATCTGCAAATGACTGTGATGGCCAAAAGCTGGGAGTGGAAACTCAATCCAAGGTTCACATGTGGGCGGCAGGGTCCTGAGTCCTGAGGCCAGCCCCACTGACTGCAGAGAACTGGAGCTGGATGCTGGAGCTGGATGCTGGAGCCGGACATCGAACCCAGACAGCACACAGATGTGGGATGTAGGCGTCTTAATCACCTGGCTAAATGGCTGAACTGCCTAATGTGACACTTCTGTTGAATAGTGAGGCTTTACGTATGTCGGCCACTAACCTTTTCTCTTGTATGAATCATGTGGTCCGGGCTTTGGGGCTTTGGTGTGTGGTCTTGTCGGTTGGTTAGGTGGAGGATGTTGCTTCATTGTCCATGTTCATCATTTCCACAAGTCTCCACCATCTACCCTGAAATGCCCTTGTCTGCTCTTCATTAAAGCACATACTTCAGCAGGTGCACTGCTGTCACCTTGCGCCACCTATCCTGCCAGCTCCCGGGGAGCCCAGAGTGGGAGCCCATGGCTGAGTTGACTGCCCAGGTGGCCTTAGGAGCAAGAAGTGTCAGGACTTCTTGCCTGTGGTCTGGGGAGGGTTTTGAGGGGAAAGCAACCGGGCTGTGGGGACCCAGGGTCAAGTTCCTGCAACTACTCAGACCCCTTGGTGCTGTTGTGAGGTTCCCCCAACAGCTCATCTGCAACCAGGGTCTTTTCGGTTTCGCTTTGCACCTTCTCTTCTCCCACACCCTCCGCTTCACCCGGTACTGGTGACGTGTGTGTGTGTGTAATGGTGCGTGGCCCATCGGAAGTGCTTGTCACTCTGTCTCCGAACCAAATGGGGCTGGAGGAAGCACCCACAGTTTAAGACAGCCCTGGCATCCCCGTGCTCAACTCAGTCAGAACTTGAGGTCTGAGGTTGGCCAATTTGATGAGGGATAGAAAAGTCTTACTTTGATCTGAGTGTGTGGCTTTCTCATTAGGTCGCCGAGTCTTACCTAGTGTTTATTGGCTGCTGGGTTTATCCTTTGATGTTTTTGCTGATTTCTCTGTTGAGTTGCTGTGTTTAGTTCTTTCTCTCAGTAT